AAGGATCTTACACATAAACATCTACCCACAATCCTCCGGGAAACAAAGCTTCCAGAACCAAATCTCCAGTTGGTGAGACAGGTGTGGGGTAGGTCGCCCTGCCAATGGGTGGCTAAATCTTCGGTAGGGGCTTCGGGAGGGTCTGGATAATATGGAACCCAACTGATCACCATTTAACTTCCTCTTTCATAGGGGACTTCACGGTCTCGGTCCTCTTCAGAATTGTTGACGGCTTCCCTTGGAAGTTTACAACAGTCTATGACCCAACTTTGGGTTCTCAGAAACTGAACAGTCACTCAAATCCTCCTCCAAACTAGAATACCTCTCAGTTCTAAAAAAAGAGGAAGTCTATTGGTATCAGAGATCCAGAATCCTCTGGCTTAAAACAGGAGACCTAAATACAGGCATCTTCCATCGGATAGCAACCTGTCACAGGAGGGATAATACCATCTCGATTCTGAAAGTAGGAGAGAATCATCTCACGGATCCAGCTGGAATAGAAAGGGCCATACTAGACTTTTTTCAGTCTATGTACTCAGCCCCACAGGCCCGTAGACCCCGTATGTCTGACTTGGATTTCTTATCTCTTCCTGCAGACAAGGCAGCTTTGCTTGAGAGGCCTTTCACTGAGGCAGAAATTCACAAAGCTGTCAAGGACCTGGCCAAAGACAAAGCCCTTGGTCCAGATGGTTTCCCGATAGCACCTTTCCAAAGATATTGGGAAACTTTCTGCCAAGATTTCCTCAGTTTCTTTGAGGAATTCTTCCACAGGGGTATCCTTCACAAAGCCCTTAATGCTACTTTTATAGCTCTGGTGCCTAAGAAAGAAGGGGCAGAGGAACTAAGAGACTTTCGACCTTTCAGTCTCCTAAACTCCTCCTACAAGATTCTAGCCAAAGTGCTGGCCACCAGATTACAACAGGTCTTGCCGTTGGTCATTTCACAATCTCAAATGGCGTTCATCAAAGGTAGACAAATTCTAGATGGATCGCTCGTGGCTCACGAATGTCTCTACTCAAGGCACAGATCGAAAAAACCGGGTCGGATTTTCAAAATAGATTGGGAAAAAGCTTATGACCATGTTGACTGGTCAATCTTAGAAGAAACAATGAAGATTATGGGCTTCAAGGATACATGGAGAAGGTGGATGAGAGGCTTCTACTCCCATCCTCATTTTTCTATCCTAATAAATGGGACGCCTAAAGGTTTTTTCCCCTCGTCTAGGGGTCTAAAACAAGGGGATCCTCTCTCCCCATTCCTGTTCACCATCTCAATTGAAGTTTTCAGCCATTCGCTTTCAAGAATGTACTAGGCAGGTCTCTTATCTGGATTCAAGAGTAGCCGCCAGGGGCCAACTGTATCTCACTTGCAATATGCAAATGATATGCTGGTCTTCCTTGATGCTACGCTAGAAGAAACACATAATCTCAGGCTATTTCTCAAATGTTTCCAAGAGGCAACAAGATTCAAAGTTAACATGGCAAAATAAAAAATGATGGGAATAACACTCTCCATGGAGGAAGTAAAAGCCCTTATCACAAACTGGGGATGCACGGTGGAAGAGCTACCCACTTCCTACCTAGGACTCCCTCTGGGGTTGGGTAAACCTAAGAAGAGACAATGGGCACCCATCATAGACAAGGTGGACAAGCGACTAGCTGGATGGAAAGGGAGATATCTCTCAATGGCAGGTTGATCAACCCCCATCAAAGCCACTCTAGCTACTACACTTGTCTATCTTATGTCGCTCTTCCAAATTCCCAGCTCAGTATCCTACCGTCTAGAACAACTCATGAGGAACTTTCTCTGGTCTGGCCAACCAGAGAAAACAAAGTACCACCTCATTCCTTTGCACAAGATTTGCATGCCCAAATCACAAGGGGGATTGGGGATCCGTAGTCTAAGACAACATAATTTGGCTTTATTAGGGAAGCGGTGGTGGCGTTTCGCAACCCAACCAGATTCCTTGTGGGCACAGATATTGCGATCAAAATACCGCATCACCCAAAATGCTTGGTTGCCCACTAGCCAACAGACCCCCAACGCCTTGGGAGCATGGAAGAGTCCCTCTCCTCTGTTCTCCCATCTTTCAAAAAGCACATCAGATTCCAAACCAAGGAAGGAACTAGAATTAAATTCTGGTCCGACCTCTGGGCAGGACATTCACCACTCAAGGACAGCTACCCCTCTCTATTCTCCCTTACCTCTAACAAGGAGGCAACAGTGGCAGAGGAAATGGTCACCCAAGGAGGTAGAAGGACTTGGAACCCAATATTCAGAAGAAATCTCACTGATGAGGAAATAAGCTCTCTCTCTACACTTATGGCCTTTCTCGACTCCTATTTTACCACCACCCATGGGCAGGATGCAATGATCTGGACCCCAGATCCGACAGGAAACTTTTCGGTTTCTTCTTTTTACAGGATGCTCTCGTATCCACCATCCTTCCCTACCAATCCCAACTCAGGGCTCGCGAAAGCTTGGTCCACTATAGCCCCTTCCAAAGTTCAAATGTTTAATTGGATTGCTCTTGCTCAAAGGGCACTTACAGTGGACCAATTGAAAAAAAGGGGTCGCCAAATGCCGAATAGATGCGTAATGTGTCAAAGCGAGGAAGAAACCAATTCGCATCTCTTCTTACATTGCAGCACTGCCCATGAACTGTGGACTCAAGTCCTTCAGTTGTTCAACATTCATTGGGTAACTCCGCCTTCCTTACAGGGCCTTCAGATGATGAACATAGCAGCATTCTGGCCAAAAGCAGGTAAGATCCTATGGGGGGCAACAGTAGCTGCAACCATTTGGATCATTTGGAAGGAGAGAAACTCCGGGATCTTTCAAGGACATTGTAACCATACTCATGCACTCTTCCATAAGGTTACTTCCCTACTAATATTTTGGGCCTCCAATCACAAAGCCTTTTAAGGTATCTCAGCCAACTCCTTCCATACACACTGGCATTGCATACTCAAACATAGGCCTCAAAAACCAACAAGAGCTAACAACTGGCAACCCCCACGCGAAGGTACCATCAAGCTCAATTTTGACGGCTGCTCCATAAGGAATCCTGGTCATGCAGGGGCAGGAGGGGTATTCAGAGATCATAATAGTTAGATTCTCCTTACTTACTCAGAATACCTAGGCCACCATGACGCACAATATGCTGAAGCTGCAGCCCTGCTCCTTGGTCTTAAATCATTTAATAGAGACTAGGGCTCACAACTACTGGTTGAAGGAGAGTCAAAAAATGTTATAGCATGGGCAGGTGGATCTGTGACACCACCTTGGTACCTAACATCTATATTTCTTGAAATTGCACATGTATGCAGGAGTATGGACGCCTTATGGAGGTATACTTGGAGGACGTCAAACGAGTTCACGGACTTATTAGCAAAAGACGGAGCTAGGAAGATACCTTAGCACGGCCTGCAGCTACCTCACCATCTCGTTTTTGAATCTCAGCACCAACTTCCTTATAGAACCTTAGCTCCAACAACACTTTGTGATCTTGTTTTTTCTACCTTTGTGGTATGCTTCCCAGTTAAGGGGTACATGTAAGGGGAATTTTCATAAGCCCATTTTGTAGTCTCACACAGAGGGACCCACTCTCAGGGTCCTCTCGTCTTTTTATCTCTCTTGTACTCTCTTGTAATCTTACTTCAGTTATATAAATGTTAACACTTCTCCAAAAAAAAAAACTTAGAGGTGTACTCGTGCTTCCTCTCAGTTCTGAGAACCTTAGTTTTCTTCCTTGATTGGTTTTGAATCTCCAACTTAAATTCCTTGGAGCAATTGAGTGCCTCATACTTACGTCAATTGAGTACACGAACGATAATGTGAGTGTTCATACTGGCATTTGTGTGGATCTTCAGATCAAAGGGACCATATACCTAAGTGAATAATATCTAATAGTTCTTTCGATCTTTGTGCCTTAGGAAATGGGTTTTCTATTGGATATTTCTATTGAGCAAGGTTCTGACATACGTAGGTTTACTTTTATCAATGATCCTATGAGCTTTTCTAAGCATCCTATCTTTACTGATTTGATCCTATCTAGCACCATAATGAAGAAACAGAAAAATCATCATGTCTATAGAAGGAAGAAAGGGGTGCAACAAGACTATTTTTAAGTCCAAAGCAAATGAGTCATCTACATAAAAACAAGTAACCATGCGCTAGGCTTATCCGAATACTATCCCCTTCACCAAGAAACTGAGTGTCTTGTTAAGGAGGATCTGGACATTGACAGGAACATTGAACATATGATGGAGCAACATGTTCCAATCATACTGAAACAGTGATCCACATGACCCTATACCCACCACGTTCTGGGTGGCAATGTTTCTCATTGAGTGCCACGCCTTAACTACATGTTCTGGTGCTCCCAAATCCACAATCCAACCATTTAAAAAGCTGGTGAGCAACTAGCACCCCAATACATACATTGTTGTAGACAGTGGAGTGAATGAACGGTGCAAGTTTCGCCTTCTCTCGATGATCTTTAGCTGGACCATGGTCATTCCGAAGCTATTTGACGTTTTACCATCCAGTATTTTCATTGAGGTTCCTTTTGGTTCATGGATCACCTGCCTATGTGGTCTTAGCTGTTATTAAGATGCCCTCCTTTAGTGAAATTTAATCTTATTGCATTTAATTGTTTACCATTATATTTGAGCTAGTAAATATCAGTTATCAAATGTTGTTTTGCATTATTAAGTAATTAACCAGTTGAGATTCTTGAGAAGATTAAAGGTATTGTCGTGGAGCATTGCTTTCTAGTTATTTATGGTGGTTGTGTTGCTGCTTGTTGCATCATATTGTCCATCGTTTCAAGAGCACGAACCCTTTTTTGAATGTTAAGAAAGATAACCGTAAAATTTAGAGATCCTTTTTGGAATGCATGCACTATAATGTTGAAATGTCTACATCCTAACTTTTTTTGCCCATTATTTTCCCCGTAAGTTTGCTCACTCAGCAATGTTTAATGTTGCGAATCATAGGTACAAGATCCCCATTGCTCTATTTGGTTTGGTTTCCACTGTAGCACTATGGGAGGTCTTAAGGATATGTAGCAACAGGTGGCAGCTTGAGAAATATCCTGTTATTCTACATGTTATGGTTCTGCTGATGCAACTGTGTAAGTTATTTAATACTACATATGACCACAGGTAGTTTGAAAAAATTAATATCATCACATTTTTCATGGAATTCATCACATTTTTCTTGGAATTGATTGAACTTGATATCTTTTTTGAATCGCTAGAAGCTCATCTAATAACATTGAGAGTTGCATGTACTGCTCTGTCTCTATTCATTTGTCTTTGATGAAATCACATTTTCCCCTTTTCTATCTTTGGTCTATGTTCTCCAATATCTTAGCTTGTTTCTTCTCGATATGAACGAAAGTGTACTGGTTCTAGGTTTTGATTGTACTTTTCATGTTCTAGAGTTTCTTTATGTTTTGAAGCAGTGCTTTAAAAAGCGGACCGCCCAGTGCCTAGGCGGTCCAGAAGGCTTGAGCGCATCGCTCAGGCCTAGGCTTCCAAACTAGGCAGTCGCCTAGGCGGGTGCTCGGTGCCCAGCTCTCAGTGGCCGCCCAGGGCTTGCGCCCTGCTCAAGGGTGGAAATACCGTTTGTTGAGGGTTTTTTTGAAAAAAAATTGTTTTTAAAAGTGGGTTTTAGGTTTAAGTTGAAGACCAAACCCGGTCCACCTCCTTTCTTGATTTGGACCACAGAGGGAACATCGAGTAGCAGATCTCTTTGTAAAGGGGCAAAACTATAAGGCCATGTTTTTGTAATCTCACTATAAATCTTTTGTTATCGGGTAGATCTATAAGCCCATTTTGTACAGGGTCGACTAACCTAATTTTTTTACTGAGAGTCCCGCCTAGTAGGGACTCTCGGATTAAACACTTTATGTACAACAATACTTTATAGCAATACAATTAACTCTTATAAAAAAAAAATTGGGTTTTAGGTTCATTTGAAACCTAAACCCACTAGAGCCCATTTTAGAGAGAGAGAAACCTAAAAAGAAAACTAGATTTTGTGATTTCATTGGATCAAAGTGTTTCTCAAAGTTACGGGAAATGGATCCAAACATCGCCCACTAAGATTAGATTTAGTTTTGAAGTTTTTTAGGCCTATTAGAGGGTGTTTTTGAAGATTATAGCACCAGAAAACATCTTAGAGGTGGAAGTTTATCTTGGCGATATTAAGGGGATGTTGCCCTATGTAAAAATGTTCCTAAAGTTATCAAAGAGGAGATTAACCAATGTATGAGTTCAATAAAACACAAACAAGAACAAAATTTTTGTCATTTGAATAGGTCTACTTCTGGTTCTACTAGAAGAAGTGATCTTGGTTGGAAGTATGGTTATAAACCGAAACCAAACAATAAAAATTGTGTAAGGTGCAATTTTTGTGAAAAGATACCAATGGGGGTATTAACCGATTCAAGAAACACCTTACCGGTATTAAAAGGAATGTTGCTTCTTGTAAAAAGGTTTTTGAAGCTATTCGAGATGAGATTAGACAATATTTGAATTTAGTAAAACCAAAAAAATGAAAAAAATGAGCCTTGTTTTATGGAAATATCTTCTACAAGTTCTTCTAGAAGTGGTGATCCGGGTTGGAAGTATGGTCATGACTCGAATCCGAATGACAAAAATCATATTAAGTGTAATTATTGTGGAAATGATACTAATGTGGATATTTACCGGTTTAAAAAACATCTTGCCAGTATTAAGGGGGATGTTGCCCTATGTAAAAATGTTCCTGAGGCTATCAGGGAGGCTATTATACAATATTTGAGTTCAGGGAAGCACAAAAGGAAAGAAAAAGGTGAAGAGGCACCAGGTAGAGCAGTCAATACTCCTAGGGCCTCATCTGCACAGAGTAAGAGGGAGGTAGAAGAAGAGGAGGAAGAGGCAGATTCAAAAGAAACAAAGGAGAATGAGCGCTATGTTGAAGAGGGAAATGACTCCGATGATGATGGCCTCGAATCTTATATATATGATGAGGCTTACCCTACTCCTTCTAATGATAGTGATGACTGAATAATGAAGAGTTGAAAACGCTGGACTCTTGGTGTTGACTATTTAATCCTAGACTGTATATTTTCTGAATTTCTATATATTTTCGTTTTCTTATTTTTAATTTTTAGTTTATACTATCTAACTCTTGTGTGTATGCTTGTATGGTTCTAGCATTGTATGAAAATATGGATTATGGACTATCTAAATTCTCCTCATTCATGGAAATATGGATTATGGATTTTGTTTTATAGTTATACTGTATGACTTTAACTGTTAGACACTTAAACTAACATTTTTCTTTCCACTGGGCTGCCCAAGTTCTGGGCGGCCGCCTAGGCGCTAGGCAGCCTGGACCCCCCGACCGCCTAGGTGCTGCCAGTGCTTTTTGAAACACTGTTTTGAAGCCACCTCATGCATCAAACATATCAATGTCCTAGTCCCCCAGAAATGAAACTGTGAAACCTATAGTGCTTTAATGACATATTCTCAAATTGTTAAAGAGTTTAACTTTCTGCACATCGAGGTAGTTAAAATGATCAGACAATAATTTGGTACTGGTCTAGATAGCAGCCATTTGTTTTCCTGTAAACTTTGGTTTCCCATTCTCTAGAAATGAGGAATCCATCAAGAAGTATCACAACTTGGTCTTATCGATTATGTCCACCTAAATAGTATTTGTATCAAAATGCCCTAGGTTTCTTGTGCATGCCGTTAATAGGAAATGTGGGTGTACCACAGCGGCTACCCCATGGCCATACTCATTGCAAGAGCCAAGGAACAGCTCAACCCTTTCCATTTGAGTGTCATCTAAGGTTCTACAACCTAGTTTCCAGAATGTGGTTGCTTAGTTTTGCCAAAGAAGTTATTTCTCTTTCCTTTTTTTTTTTTTTTGATTGAAGTGTTAATGGTGGGAATGGAGCCTAGGACGTTATGTTGAGGCAACTGCCCCCCTAACTACCAATTATTTTACATTATATTGATGAAAAGTTTACTCGGGATTTCTTTTTATCATTATATAGGATTTGGGGTTAAACTTATAGCTTGCTGTTTTTTCTCAATGAAATCTGGGAAATTTCCAGCTTACCCCTAACCACACCCATCTCTGCGAAAATCCTCACCTTTAATGGCACAAATACATCATACCCAGTTTTCAACTTTTGTGTCAAACAAACCCCCACAGGACTCTTTGAATCCTTATATGAGAAATTTATTTTTGAAAAAGCTCTTTGATTCCTTATATGAGAAATTTATTTTTGAAAAACTCTCTCTCTCTCTCT